GAGCCGTGAGACCCTCCACCTCTGCTCATGGGGGAGCCCGCCAAGCCCTTCACTTGAACCCGGTTTACGGCTAGTACATAATATACGCGAAGCAGAGTGACGCATCTGCAGAGGAGTTTTAGGGAGAGGGACCGTAGGTGACAGATGACGTGCTCTCTTTGTTTCAGGGGGCCAAAGACAATCATTCAGGTTTTGTCTGTGTCTAGCTGAAGGAAGTTGTTTTGCATCCACTCACTGATCTGTTGGATACAGTGAAGGAGTGAGTTCACTGGTTCCTTGTTCTCCTGCAGTCAGTGAGACATAGATCTGAGTGTCGTCTGAATTGTTGTGACAGGACAGGTTGTTACTGCTTATTAACTGACCTAACGGTAACATGTTGAGATTGAACAGAAGAGATCCCAGGATCGACCCCTGTGGTACTCCACAGGTCAGGGCCATATAATCTGAGACGCAGATTATATGTACTTTCTGTCTTCAAGGTAAAACCTAAACCAGTTTAGGGCAGTGCCAGCGACACCAACCCAGTCTTCCAGTCTTAAGCAGGAACCTGCTTAAATCCTGCTTTGGTCCTGGGTTAGCCCTGGTTTAGCCCTGGTTTAGTCCTGGTTTATCCCTGCTTGAGTCCTGGTTTAGCCCTGCTTAAATCCTGCTTTAGCCCTGCTTTAGTCTTGGTGTAGCCCTGCTTTATTCCTGGTTTAGCCCTTCTTAAGTACTGCTTTAGCCCTGCTTTAGTCTTGGTGTAGCCCTGCTTTAGTCCTGCTTTAGCCCTGCTTTAGTCTTGTGTTAGTCCTGGTTAAGCCCTGCTTTAGTCCTGGTTTAGCCCTGTTCAGCCTGCTGCATCATAGGCCTCTACAATTTACCTTTTCTGTCACTCCTGTATAAACAACACAAACACCTCAACCATTTTCTCTTCAAAGACATTTTCAAAATCAATATTTAGCATCACCCCCTCTCCCCCCCTGCACTGCTCTGTGCCGACACGCGCTGTTTTATATTTTCTATTGGCTATTAGCTAAAGTGAAAGGGATGGATGGGCGCGATAGCATCTCCATCAAAAAACAACAAGTGACGGTGAGAAATGGCCGCTGTTTCCGCCACTGACAGCGAAAAGCATACGCCGACAAGAGAGAGAGAGAAGGAATCGAGAAAGAGAGAGAGGTCGAGGAGGGAGAGAGGAGAGAAAGAGAGGGAGTAGGAGAGAGAGAAAGAGGGAGGAGAGAGAGGAAACTTAAATATTCAGATGTGACGCCTAATGATGGACGAGGACGCAGCGCAGAATCAAGGCGCTATCCACGCATAAAATGAAAACAGGAAAGTGAGAGAGGGGGAGAGACAATAGGAGAAACAGTGGGAGAGAGGGGGAGAGACAGGTGAGACTAACGAGACGCAGACTTGCAGATGGATAGCTCTGGCACTAATGTGAATAAACAGGACAAGGACAAAGATGGAGATAGAGCAGTGGACTTCAGGCAGGTGTGCGTCTGACAACCCAGTTAGCTTAGTGTTGGTCTGAGCAGCGACATGGGCCTCTGGGGTTAAGGAGGATCAATAGGAGTTTGTTTGTTACTTTGAAACAACATACATACATTCAATTCAATTTATTCTTGCCCTAAATCCAAACAGTAGTAATCTCAGAGGACTTAACAAAACCGTTGAAATCACCAACACAGATCAGAGAATTTGTGTTGGCGGGTTAGGCAGGGCAGTCTGCAGGGGCAGATGGAGGGGGCCGGGTTCAGGGGTCCCGTCCTAGCACCATGAAACAGACAATGGGACAACCGGTGAATAGCAATGAACAGACAACATTCAAAATCCTAATAATGCAGACAGATAAGGTAGGAAGGGGCGACAGTGGCTCAGTTGGTAGAGCTTTGGCTTTTGGGCCTGAAGGTTGTGGGTTTGAGCCCAACACAAGACCTACTTCACGACTCCCACTGATGACTGCTGTTGTTGTGTCCTTGGGCAAGACACATACCCCACTTTGCCTGAAGCCCACACTGAAAGATCAAGGCTCCTGTGGACTCACTACAGGACTCATCAGTGAGGGGCTGGTGCTATGTGTACTAGGTGCAGCTCTGACTGCCACCCCCCGCCCATCCAGAAATGGATTAAGGGGAAGAAGATGGATGGATGGATGGATAAAGTAGGAAGGGGGAGAGGACTGTGAGCAAGTTACCATGCTTCTCCCAGCAAATTGACTTCATATGCAGCTAGACTGACAATCTAGTCTTCCCTGAGTCTTACTTATCTAACCATATGCTAAATGGAAGAGAACTGTTTTAAGCCTGGCCTTGAATGTGGAGACTTTGTCTGCTTCCTTAACGTGGATGGGAAGCTGATTCCACAGTAAAGGAGCTTGGTAGCTAAATGCTCTGCCGCAGTGCTTTTTGAGACCTTAGGAACATCCAGCCGTCTGGCGTTTTGTGAGCACAGTGCTCGGTTTGGTTGGTATGACACTAATGTATCTTGGAGGTATGAAGGAGCCACGCCATCTATGGCTTTGTATGTTAAAAGAAGGATTTTAATTGTTATTTTGTACTCCACAGGAAGCCAGTTTAGTGATTTTAACACCAGAGTTGTGTGCTCCCTCTTTTTTGTACCTGTTAAGACCCTTGTTGCTGTATTTTGAAAGAGCTGAAAGCTCTTTAAAGTGATTGTCTGGAGTTTGTCAGAAAAAGAGAGAGAGGTACATGATTTGAAAAAAACGACCCAAGCTCCCTTCCCCTTCCTTTCTGATTGGTCTATGCCTATGTTTCCGTAACAATCGATCTACACATTTAATTATTAATCGGAGAACACATTATACGTATACATTATTAATACACATGCACAGCGATTTTCATAATTTTCTGTTAACGTTTTGATGACAAAAATAATGTTTTAATGCACAAAAAAAGTGATCGCGGTAAACCCGGAAGTAGCTATTAACATTATTTGAACATTATAGGACACATCTGCAGAGGATCTGATTATGGATATAGGTTCAGTATATAAATGGGTAACTCAGCGCGGATGTTCAGTTTTCATGTAGTTCCAGAGCCTAATGGAGGCTTGATTCGGAGGCTACTTACTGAAGTAAGTAAGTAACCTTTATTTATATACCGCCTTTCACAGACCAGAGTCACAAAGCAGTTTACAAGTGTTTTTTTTGGGCATTTGTCTCTCACTCCACACAGAGATGGGAGCGGGGTCACCGAACAGGAGGCACATGCCAGACCTATTGTACATATTTTTAGTGGTAGGGGAAACCGGAGCACCCGGAGGAAACCTACGCAGACACGGGGAGAACATACAAACTCAACTCAGAAAGGCCGCAGTCGGACCGGGATTCGAACCCAGGACCTTCTTGCTGAGAGGCGAAAGTGCTATCCACTCAGCCACCGTGCCGTAGTTGAGCATGCGCAACTACGAGCATGAGCGCCGATGATTGACAGCCCTTGGCATCACTTGATTGGTTAACATGGACGGCATCGTGGATTTTGAACTATACCTAAGAGAAGGGAAGGCGGGACTTACCTGTAATATTACAACTCATAAAGTGACTTATTTTATATCAACATTTAAGGCCAGGAGGTCAATTTAATACAATTCATAAAATGTGTAATACATTTAGAGTTCCAGACTATCACTTTAAAGAGGTACACTGCCAGCAAAGCATTACATTTACACAAGAAATATTAGTGCTACTTCAGGGTTTTTAACACAGACATGGGATTGAGAAGAATGCAACGTTTGTGTAAACTCTGAAACAGGTTGAATTGTTTCTAAATTGCCACTAAGACTAAGTCACAAGGCGGGTTGAATGTTGACTCATTTTGACACAGCAGCCTGTGTTGCTCTGTGTGGAATGAAAAGGTGGCTCAAGGTTTTTGTCAAGTGTTAATGAGGCTTTATTTATGTTTAAGTTTGGTATTGTAGCTGCCACTCACCATAGAGACACGAGTGAGACCAGAGGGGGAGATCAGAGAGAGGCCAGAGAGAGACCAGAGAAAGACCAAAGAGAGACCAGAAAGAGAGAGAAAGACCAGAGAAAGACCAAAGAGAGACCAGAGAGAGAGAGAGATAGACCAGAGAAAGACCAAAGAGAGACCAGAGAGAGACCAGAGAGGGAGGCCAGGGAGAGTCCAGAGAGAGACCAGAGAAAACCCAGAGAGAGATATCCGAGAGACAGTCCAGAGAGAAAGGTCAGAGACAGAGACCAGAGAGAGACCAGAGAGCGACCAGAGAGCGACCAGAGAGCGACCACAGAGCGACCACAGAGAGACCGGAGAGAGATCAGGACGCTGAACCAGAGATAACAGATTTAAACGCACACTTAATCGCTTCACTACTATCACAGAACTGAGAGATTTTGGTGGCAGAGAAAAGAGGTTGTTGTTTTGAAAACAGTTCTTTTAATGTGGTTTTAGAGCTGCGTATCTGCAGCTGAGAAACTGGAAAGAAGATGTCAGCGAGGAGCGCCAGGTCCTCTGGGATTACTCTCATACTCTGCTCCAGCTTCTCTGCTTTTAGTCCTAATAAAAATAAAAGCACTGAGTGTTTACGCTCAAGGAAAGAGAGGGAAAAGTTTGGATCAATGGGACCTGTCTGTTCCAGAGTTGGTGCCTGAGATTCTCCCAAAAACATTCTTGAAAAGTTGCTTTTGGAGCAAATTTGACTTGTTTCATTTGTGTTTTCATCATGAAGTTATTAACTTTCACAATGTTATTGAGCACTTATAGCTGCGGTCTCTAACTATTCTCGTGGACATATATTTATCTCTCAACAGAAAGATTTTTGTAAAAGTAAAATGTCATGAACCAATCAGAGAGTGCTGAGAGACCAAAGAGATCTGAGAGAGACCAGAGAGACCCTAGAGCGCGAGCAGTGGGAACAGAGAGAGACCAGATAGTCCAGAGAAACCAGAGAGACCAGTTCGATCTTGAGAACTGCAATGTGCAAACTGTGTCCTCACAGTTCTCAAAGTTGTCTCCTCACAGTTCTAATATTTGCTTCCACAGAGTTCTCATGCAGAGCTGCAGATGATGGAGAGCAGGAGGAGTTCTCTTTTGTCCAGACTGGACCTGTTCAGACGCAACGGACCTGAACCGCCGCGTGACCTGGTCCACAAAGTCCACAGCCTGAACCATACCTGGGACCAGATCAAGGTACACCCTGCACCTGGAGTCTGTGTGAGTCACCTCTAATCCTCATGAGCCTGTCTCACTTCCTTGAGAACTTCCCTTCATTGAGCTAGCATGTTAGCATTGTCCATCTGTATACTGTCTATGATATCAGGCCTTTCTACAACCAGAGAGACCATAGAGAGAGACTAGAGAGAGAGGGGAAAGAGAGAGACCAGAGAAAGAGACCAGTGAGAGTGTAGAGTGAGACAAGAGGGAGATCAGACACAGACCAGTGAGAGAAAATACCAGAGAGAGACCAGAAAAAGACCATAGAGAGCGAGACAAGAGAGAGGCCAGAAAGACCAGAGAGAGAAAGTTAGACCATAGTAGATAAGTACTCACAAAGATGATAGATGTGGAACAATGTAACAGTTAATGTTTCATGTGGATTGTTTCAGGAATCACAGACTAGAACGTTACTTCTGACAGTTAGTGACCCAGAATGCCACCTTAACCCCTTAAGGATCACCTAATTTCGCCTGTTTCTTCTCGAATTATGATACCCAAATAGAAATGCTTACTGTGTGGACATCTTGTGTCTGATCTTGTGTTATGAGACCTCATTTGAAAGGTAACACCTTCTAGTTTCTGGAAATGTATGTTACAGTTTGTTAGGAAGGACACAGTCTGCACTACACCTTCTCAAACATGAGTAAAAGTTAGTTTTTTTTGTCTCGAAAAAAAAAAGGCAATTTCAAAAGGTTCTCCTGAAGACATACTTTATGATATGTTGTTCAAACTCACCAGAGCAGATGTCTGTGGTGTTGGCAACAACTTTATGAAATTTTAGACCTTTAGGTGAAACCATTTTGATGCTGGGGGCTTTTTTGTGACTAATGGGCACATTCGGCACAAGCGGTCCATTTTTGTGCCAATTGTGCCAAAGTGTTTTACATGCAAATTATCAACATTATTACACCAAAAATCAAATTATATCATTTTTTGGCTATTACTCTTGCTATAAATAGGATTTTTTTCCAGATATTGAAATGTTTACAGAAAAGCTATTATTTATATAGTTATAGCGCGTGTTCTCCGTGAAAATGCTCCGCTTTCCTCTCTTACGCATTCAAATAACACTCGAACAGTGGGAGGAACCTTGAAGTCCGACACATCGCCTGAAACCTGAGATTATTGGCTACAAGATGGTTTGATTGACATCCAAATCGGCCAATGGTAGTCAAGACAATGCTGTCATGACGCACAGAAAGGTAAATGCCTGGAGGGCTGAAGTTTGGTGCGCTTGTTTTCGTCAACTTGTTGTACCCCCCAAACCATAGCACTGAGAAGTCCGAGTGAGGGCTTGTTTTGAAGGGAAGACTGAGAGGAAGACGAACATACCCAGTGATTCTGGGTAAAAAAAACAATGGCGTCTTCAGACAGTGCGCAAAGACGCGGTTTTATTTTTGTTCGGGCAACTTTCAAAACTCAAATGTGTCGTTACAAGTGGATATCTACAATAATGATGACTTTGAAGAAAAAACAACTGGATATAAGTATTCTCTAGACCCCCCCGGACAAAATGAATGCACACATGTGTGGATTAGACGTGATTTGGCCCAGAATATTAGCATGAAAAGGTAAGAAAGGACAATATATATTTTTTATATGTATACAGTTTGACTACAAATACTTACTTTTGTTGATATTTAATGTTTATTTGAACATAATATGCATTTAGAGGTGGGAATAAGCTTTCAAAAGAGGTATAGCTTGACTATATTGACACAAGTTAAGTTATAATACTGATGCAGTTAAATGAAAAATATCTGAATCCTCCCTGTACAGGGAGGGTGATCCTTAAGGTGGGGGAGTTTGAGTACTCTGGGGATCCTGGGAGCTATGTTGTCTGGGGCTTTATGGCCCTGTTAGACAAAGGGCCCCCTTTTTACGCCATGAGCCAGGCCAGGGGTTGGGGCTCGCAAGCGAGCGTCTGGTGGCCGGGCATTAGCCCACAAGGCCCAGCCGGCCTCAGCCCAAAAGGACGGCGTGGGCAGGCCCTCCTGTGGACCCACCACCCACAGAGGGATCCGTGGCGAGAAGGTGCAGAGACATTTTCGCCACGGCAGAGGTCCACACACACGTCTGGCTCTTTGGACATGGAACGTCACCTCACTGGGAAGGAAGAGCCCGAGCTCCTCACACAGCTTGTACCCAACTCCTTGACAGGGGTTGGAGGCTCCACTTTTTCGAGAGCTTGAGGGTGGCCATACTCACTGCCCCCCATCTCACGTGCCCTCCACGTGTTGGATTTTTCCCCGGTAAATGAGAGGGTCAGATCACTCCGCCTCCTGGTGACAGTGGCAAGGCTGTCACTGTTGATTGGACCATTTTCCATGCACACGGGACACGCACTCACTAAATTTGTGTGTCACGCAGAATGAAATGCTTTTTGCGCACAGCTGAAGTGGCGGGTTGGCTTTGATGATAACAGAGCTAAGCTAGAGGCTTTTTGTGTAAAGTTCAGACCGCTAGTGTACCCGTGACCACTTTGCGGCTCTCTGGTTACCCCCTGCACGTATGGCCTTCAGAAAAAGTTCAGCAATGTCCATTTCCTGCCTGCGTCGAGTTGCCGCTCCTGCGCCTCTGCCGCGTCCGTGTGTGTCCCGCAACACACATGCAATTCAACGCTCGAACGGAAGTCACCATTGACGGAGTTCGCTTCTCCATGTCGCTAGAAACCAGTTGAGGTGACTTGGGCATCTGTTCCAGATGCCTCCAGGACTCCTCCCTGGGGAGACTCCTCCCGGGCAGACACAGGAAGACACAGGACACGCTGGACGGACTATGTCTCTCAGCTGGCCTGGGAATGCCTTAGGGCAGGGGTCCCCAATTAAATGGGCACAAGGTCCACTTACGTGATCAGTTCAATAGATCAGGGTCCGGACAGCATACGAATATTTTATTTCATAGAAATCCATTTAAGCTATTTTTTCATATGAAATTATATGAAAACCTTAAACAACAACAGTAGTAAGAACTATTTGAAAAAAAAAAAAATCTAAATACAGGAGTATATAATTCACAAATAACATTAATCTCCTTTGTTTATTTCTATACAACACAACACACCACAAACCTCTACACAACTCACCACAAACCTCTCCCAAACTCTCAGAGCAGAGGGTGCAACACATTAATTGTGGAGGATAAGGGGGTCTTTTTGTTCAAGTGCTACTTTCCATCAAATAACCTTTTTGCAATCACCTCCACACTCTGACTTCCTCCTTCTCCTCCACCTCAGCACACTGTGACCTCCTCTGCCTTCTCCTCCACACACTCTGACCTCCTCCTCTACCTCTCTGACCTCCTCCTCCACACACTCTGACCTCCTCCTCCACACACACTGGCCTCCTCCTCCACACACACTGGCCTCCTCCTCCACACACTCTGGCCTCCTCCTCCACACACTCTGGCCTCCTCCTCCACACACACTGGCCTCCTCCTCCACACACACCGGCCTCCTCCTCCACACACACCGGCCTCCTCCTCCACACACACTGGCCTCCTCCTCCACACACACTGGCCTCCTCCTCCACACACTCTGGCCTCCTCCTCCACACACACTGGCCTCCTCCTCCACACACTCTGGCCTCCTCCTCCACACACTCTGGCCTCCTCCTCCACACACACTGGCCTCCTCCTCCTCCTCCACACACTCTGTACACAGCGCTCATTCCCGCCTCTTTCACGTCTCTGACTCTCACTTGGATTCAGACACTGCTAAAGTTATTATGATAGCTCCGTGTAGTTTTCTCAAAGGACCCCACATAGCCGGCCTCGCGCCTGCCTAATTACAAATTGCTTTCGGTGAAAATTTGACACATGATCGTAATAATGTACTTTTGGACAAAAAAATCACGGAGGTCCAGAAAAAAGGGTCTCGAGGTCCGGACCTGGACCGCGGTCCGCCATTTGGTGACCTAGACCTTAGGGTCTCCCCGGATGAGCTGGAGGAACTGTGTGTGGATAGGGAAGTCTGGGCGTATCTGCTTAGACTGCTGCCCCAGCAACCCAGCAACAGATTAAGCGGAAGAAAATGGATGGATGGATGGACCACAGTTACCACAATTACCATAGTGGCCAGGAGAGATCTTCCGGCTGCTCTCGTCCACACTGTCTAACTATCGCTGGACGACTCCTCGACTCGTTTGGACTGAAACAATATTAATTTAAATGAAGAGCTGTTTGAAAGCATTATAATTCTGCAGCTTCAGGCAGTTTGGGAAAATGTGCCTTAATAAGTTCTGCTACAATGAGCACTTGTTTTACACATATTTTATAACATCATCCTTAATTATTCAACTTATTCAGACTGTAATTAAAACATTTACATATGTGCATAATGGGTACATTTGCATAAAGATTAATTCACACATTCTGCATAAAGCTGCTGTGTTCCTCTGGGTTTTTACCTTTAGTGTAAGCTTATATGGTTCTGAAGGTTCCAGGTCCAACACCTTCATGGTCTGGTCTGCTCTGTCCATGGTCCTCAAGTCAGCCTCCATGGACAGCTCTGTCCATGGTCCTCACCTCTGCCTCCATGGTCTGCTCTCTGTCCATGGTCCTCAACTCAGCTTCCATGGTTTGCTCTCAGTCCATGGTTTCGGACACATTATTGAGTGATGAGAAACAGTAGCAACTGAAGAGTGTGACATCATTCAGAACGCTATCTCTCACAGATTCTATTCTGTTAAATTCAGGCCAGAGAGAGATCAGAGAGAAACCAGAGATAGACCAGGGAGAGAGACTAGAGAGATAGAGAGAGACCAGAGAGACACCAGAGAGAGACCGAAGGAGGGACCAGAGAGAGACCATGAAAAGAGACGACAGAAAGAGACCCAAGAGAGACCATAGAGAGTCCAGACAAAGACCAAAGAGAGACAAGGGAGAGACCAGAAAGAAGAAGAGAAATACCCTCGGACTACTTGAGTATTTGTAAGCTTCTGTCCTACTACTTCTCTTGGACCCGCGGCTTTGTTTAAACCCAAACCTGTCGTCTATGTTGGATCTAAAGTGCAGTATCTTCATTCCCCTCACACTCTCTGTAAATAGAAGTATTTTGTTGTTGGTAACCATCGGCTCCTGGCTGCGTCTCTGATAAACCTGCCGCTCCTCGTCTCTTTAACCGGATTCTAATCAGTCCAACTTCACGTGAGTCGCTGACAGCTCACTCCCCACGGTTCTCAAACCATCGTCCGCGTACAGAGACCATAAAGACCTGCCCATTATCAGAGTAATGACTGCTCCTCGCGGCTGCAGCCCAGCTATTACCACCAATGAGGAGTTTCAAACAAAAGACAAAAGAGAAAGGAGAGAGCAGAGGGGAGAGAGAAGAGAGGGGAGGGGAGAATAGAGAGAGGAGAGACAAGAGGAGAAAGGGGAGTGGAGAGAGGAGAGGAGAGCAACTAGACCCGGCTTTTGCAGAGGCTGGAGGGCCAAGCAGCACGAGCAAAGTCAAGCTTAAGACTGAAGCGTTGGCCAGTTTTAGACCCAGAACTGAGGCAGTATAAGTAAAATTCCTCTAGTTCAGTAACTTTTGTGTCACACTCACCATTCACCACCCATAGAAGGACTGACCAATCAAAGTAGATGCTGTGCCGCAGCAGAGCAGACAGAAGTGTGATGATGTGTGTGTAGTGGACAGTGTTGGGACAGTAAAGCATTACAAAGGTAAAGTAATGACTGTAATGTAAGGCTTTTTGCTGTAACGCAGTAATGTAATGTTTTGGCCACAAAATATAGTGTGACTCTTGAATTACAGTTTGAAGTGTTATTAAAATAGCACCACACTGTGAGATCCCTCCATCCGTCCATCCATTTTCTTCCCCTTAATCCATTTCTGGGTTGGGGGGTGGCAGTCAGAGCTGCACCCAGTACACATAGCACTGCTTCTGCTCCAGCAGGTGATGAGTCCACAGGAGCCTTGATCTTTCAGGGGGGGCTTCACACTGGGACAGCGAGAGTTAAACAGAAGGGAATTATCCGCTGTGTGAACACATCCCTTTGGCCCTGGAGCGACACACTCCCCTTCGCCCCTCGACCACGGTCCAGGGGCTCACATGAAAGATGTAACACAAGCAAAGGAGTAGCAGGAAGATGTAATGTGACGCAAAATATCACCCCCCCTTCCCGTGTGGGCTTTACAACTGTGCTCAGGCCTCCCTCTCTCAATCATGTCCAAGCACGTTTTCTGCAAACGTGCCCAAGCCCAGTTGCCGCGGTCACACGGCACCTAAAGCCCGGATTGTTGTGCTTGTGATCGCAGCCTCACACATGACATTGAAATAAGAATAATAAGTAAAACATAATATATGTTTCTGAAGTCACTTTCCCAACACTGCTCTGGACTTGTTCTTCTCTGGGCTCGTCCCGTTCTGGGCTCGTCTTGCTCTGGGCTCATCCTGGTCCTGATGAGACAGATGCTGTTTGTCGTGCCTCGCTGGCCTCCGCTGTGCTTGTTTGAGATCTGCGTCTTCATTTCACTGGGAGCAGATGTGACAAGAGCAGCTCAGTAATCACACGGTCCCCAGAGAGATCAGGACCACGGCCCAAACAAGGGTTAACCACCAGGATCCTCTGGGACCAGCACCAACTCACCTGCAGAATTAGCAAAGACATGGTGTTGTCTGCTACGCATCATTCCCAACTCCAATCCTGTTTTAAAGCTCAGGGACGTAACTTTCAAGACACAAAAATAGAAACAGATAGAGAGAAAGAAATCCTAGAAAGAGACCAGAAGGATACCAGAGAGAGACCAGAAAGAAACCAGGACGAGACCATAAAGAGACAAGAGAGAGACCAGAAGGACCAGAAAGAGACAAGAGAGAGAGACTAGAGAGAGAGAGCAGAAAGAGACCAGAGAGCGAGACCTGAAAGAGACCAGAGAGAGGCTAAAGAGAGAGACCAGAGAAAGACCATAGATAGGCCAGAGAGAGACCGGAGAGAGACAAACCAGAGAAAGACATTACACATTAAAATACTGTATATGTTTATTGTAGCCATGTAGTGTGTTCCAAACTTCATTGTTTCTAAACTTTTGTCATTGTGATGCTGTTTTCAGACGTGTGTTTAATCTGAAGTGTGTGATGAGAGTGTTTTCTCCAGAGCACATCAGCAGCAGCTGTCTTTGTTTATGTCGATCACAACAACAGAACGCGACACAAACACAGTCCCATCCTGAGCTGGTTCCTACGAGCTGGGGGCTGCTCCCACCCTCACATCTGTGGCAATAGATTAAAGAACTGTGCTTTTTCTGCGTTTCTCCAGACTTTAGTTGCTTTTCATTTCTGGTTCTGTCCCTGTCTCTGTCATTGTTTCTGTCCAGGTCTGTGCAAAGAAGAATAATAGAGATTGTCAATGTTAATTTTGCAAATTAAATCTGAGACTGAAACTGCCCTCTTCTCCGTCTCGTGGCCAAGAGCCCTGTTTGCGCCCTCTCCTCTCCCCTCTCGCCCATCTCTCTTCTCTCTTTAAATGCTTTGTTGTGGTGTATCGGCGGTCTTGTTGTTGAGGGTAAATTATCCTCCCCGGTGAAACCTGAAACACAGGACTCTGGCTCTGTCACTCGCTCTCTCCTCTCGCTCACTCTCTCTCTCCTCTCTCACTCGCTCACTCATCAGAGATGTGTGTGGGAACATCAGAGTGAAGAAGCCGTGTTTGTGGAGATTGGCTTAAGATGACACTGTTATAAGTTTATACTGTTCACAAACAGAAGCAGAGGCGGCACATGTCACTCACCTGAGCTGATGATGAACTCTTCATATATTATTATTACTAGTATTTATTAAAATTCTCTGCTTTGGCTCAGTCCGGTCCATCACTCGTTTTGTGTTTATGTGTTGTAGAACCTGCTGTGTCTGGACTCCTCTGGCCGCTGTCCCTCTCTGCTCTCCGCTGCCCCTCTGGTCACGGCGGGTCACTACACACTGTCCCCCCTAACCACGTCTCTACTGCAACAGCTGGAGGCCAGGATCAAAGAGCTCAAGTCTTGGCTTCGAGACACTGAGTTGCTCATCTTTAACTCCTGTCTGTGCAATCACAAGGAGCCGGAGCAGCAACTGGCCAGCTTCAAGGTAGGACCACAGGGGCGCTGCAGTGACCACAGGGGGTGCTAGACGGCATGTTTCTTACACAAAAATTCTCAAGGTGAGATTTACTAATGAAATTGTCATCTTAAAAGTCAGACAATAATTGACTGAAGGAGAGTCTGAAGCAGAGTCTGAAGCAGAGGCTGAGGCAGAGACTGAAGCAGAGGCTGAAGTAGAGACTGAAGCAGAGACTGAAGCAGAGACTGAAGCAGAGGCTGAAGCAGAGACTGAAGCAGAGGCTGAAGCAGAGACTGAAGCAGAGACTGAAGCAGAGACTGAAGCAGAGGCTGAAGCAGAGACTGAAGCAGAGACTGAAGCAGAGACTGAAGCAGAGGCTGAAGCAGAGACTGAAGCAGAGACTGAAGCAGAGGCTGAAGCAGAGACTGAAGCAGAGACTGAAGCAGAGACTGGAGCAGAGGCTGAAGCAGAGACTGAAGCAGAGACTGGAGCAGAGGCTGAAGCAGAGACTGAAGCAGAGGCAGAAGCAGAGACTGAAGCAGAGTTTGAATTACATTTTCCTGTGGTAGGGAAGCCCGCGGCCATTTTGAATCTGCCAATGTCTGTAACACATACATTTCAACGGAGGAAATAGGAGTCACTACGTATGCAATATTGGCAGTCTATGCTCAAACCTGGCTTTAGTTGTGGAAGAAAACTCCACAACTACAGCTAGTTACAAAACGAGTTCAGACAGAGCAAAAAACAGAGTTTGTGTCTGAGATACTTTGGATCAGTCTGGTGATGATTTATGGACTAAAAGTGAAGCCCACATGTCTCTGCACTAACAGCACAGTTACCTGCACCCACACAACAGTCTCTAAACTTTCCTAACTCCGTCTGTTTCATCTAAATATAGCTCTGTGCTTAAAGCTAATGAGGCCACTCTATAGACATGAGCCTATAGCACGAACAGCGGTTAGCCTTAGCACGGCAGGGAGCTAACCGGATCTTAATCAGCCGCCAGACTCATACAGAGCAGAGTTAGCAGCGCTGATTAAGCTAGCCCCGCGGTGTGAGTGACAGCCGCAGCAGAGACCTGGTGTTGCAGATCTGAGAAACTGTGGATCACAACAAACAGGTCCCAGATACTCATGTGGTGATGTACGAGGAGGTGGAAGGCGACTGCTACTGCTGCTACTGCTACTGCTGCTGCTACTACTTTGCTTCTGCTGACACTGCTCCTGCTGCTACTACTACAGCTGCTTCTAGGGTTGCCAACCGTCCCTTGAAATACGGAATTGTCCCGTATTATAGAAAAACTATGTGCGTCCCGCATTGAATGGATACAGGACGGCTCTTGTCCCGTATTTTCAGAGTTGCCTTAAATGCATCACTCACTCACTGCTTGTCACACGCGTGACACACGCACAAACACAGTAAACACAGTTTAAGCGTCTATCTTTCAGCCAATCAGTGTCAGAGGGGCGTAGGCTCGATCACATCCATGGGTTTAATGTTGACAATCGCCATCGTGGGCCGTGCCCGCAGCCTCATCATAGCAGAAGTTTGGTAAAGTAGTGTCATATTCCCAGATTCGGACTTCCGAAGCTCACGAAAGCTACTTTGTTAAACAAAAGTAATTGTGCTAAAAAAATCACCTCTACGTTGATTTTTCAAATCCAATGCGCTATTTTAATGCAGAGAAATCCATTGAATCCAATGCACTGCAAGCGCCGAGAAAAGCGCTTAGGGAGCGTCAACAAATGTCCAGACCAGCTTTGTAAATGAAAAATAGCTTTTACTGAAGCCATGTACACGCACTAAACTCTCAGACAATATAAATAATGATCATATCTAACTGCTACAGACTTTCATTTCAACATTTGTGAGTTCTTTTATTTGCTTTTACAGTGAATGGTCTTTACTGTAACAGACATAAATAATATATGTTACAGCATTTGTCTTTTTTATTACTAATAAGAATGCATTAAGTCATTTTAATGACATTTTTATTTGAAAATCAAGTGTTTAAAGTGTCTTAATTTTTAAGTAAAGCCTGGAAGAAGCGGCATTCTCATCTATTTAAATGAGAGCATTTGTGTTTGATTTTGTTTATGATTTTATTTATGATTTGTTTTATAATTTTGTTCATGATTTTGTTTATGTGCCTAATGTTGGCCTGTGTCTCTGTATTTGTGTTAATGGTGTCTTATAAGCCCATGTGAGCTGGGCATCCTTGTACGCAAGACACTATAATAAAAAATGTATCTATCTATCTTATCTATCTAACTACTGCTACCACTGCCACTGCTGCTACTGCTGCTACTACTACTACTGCTGCCACTGCTCCTACTGCTCCTACTGCTGATTCTACTAGTACCACTGCTGCTGCTACTGCTACATACCTGTAGTTGTGTTTTGCTCCCTCCACACTAATATCAGGAACGTCTGGCACAAACATGCCCTTTCGGTCTCAGTCCTGTAAACAGTATAATGTCCTCATCCCTCTATGACATCACCCTTTGCAGCCAGTACTCTTTAATGCATTATCCATTACAGGCCTATTATACAGTTTTGACATCTGAAATCACAAACAAATCATTGTCTGATCTGTTATTGGTGAATTGACAACTTCCTCTGAGACGACTGGTCCTGTGTTTTAGGACAAGACACAAATACATTGAACGGAATTTAAATAGTCCAGTGGTCCCCGACCTTTTGAGTTTCAAGGGACTGGTTTAACAGCAGACAGATTATAACCTAAATGATTAAAAAAGAATATGTAATCACAATTTGCAATTAATTGTAAAACATTTTCATTGAGCCCCAATAAATACAAGATACATGTAAGAAGTAATAGTTCGCCGCTAAGTGAAAGAAAGCCCAGTATAATCCTTAGCACTATGTTTATATTCTTTAAAAGCAGGAAAATCCCATTGAGAATTAAACCCTGTGGCTCAGAGAGATGTCTTCAGTCCCTCTTCTTCATAATTGGTACAAATGCACAGAAATGTTTGGTCTAATATGACATCATGGAGTGAGATCCAACGAGGATCAGTGGGAATGATGCAACCCACACCCAAGGCTTTGTCCATGGACAGTGAGAGTGCTCAGTGGGGGCCAGGAGGAGGAGCAGGAGGAGTAAGTATGAGAGGAGGAGGAGAAGAAGAAGGGGGGGAGATAGTAGGAGAAGCAGGTGGAGAAAGTGGGAGAGGAGGAGGAAGAGGAGGTAGTGGGAGAGGAGGAGCAGGAGGAGGAGGAACAGGAGATACACAGGGGAGACACGGACACTTCCTGACGCTCCATAGTCCAGCGGGTCAGAACGCTGCAGCCATGGAGGATGCAGAATCCTGTTGGAGTACATACCCTGTATACCCTGCGGTCACGTGCGCCCCTTAAAGGAACTATACCCGATTTATTTTCTAATGAGTTCAAAAAATGCGTATTACTACTGTACATACAAGCAGTATTAAAATCCGTAATTTAAAACTTGAGCTCATCGATTCAGCTTGTGTAAAAAATGCCGCTGTAGTTAGCAGAAAGTGGCTTTACCTTCTCTGGCTGTAACTGCATACACAGAAAAACCACCCAATCAATGCAACAGTGAGAAAGAAAAGAGGGAACTAAAGCGAAAAAATTATCAAAGAAGAAATCAAGCCCGGGTAGATAGAGCTAGCTTACATTGTATCCTCTGGAGAGACCTGGGAGCAGGACCGCCTCGGACTACATTTGGACGCAAAACCAGCGGTAATCTTTCAGTTATATATTTTGTTAGCAGTGCGTTGCTTTTGTACTATTTCATCACAGTGATTGTTGCACAGCTTACAAGAAGTTGCGCTAATGCATATTTTTGCATACGTATCAGATCGCAAATAAAACTAGATGGCTCCGTGGGAAGAGAGCGTAGAGGAGAGCTGGAGGGTTTCTCAAAATGAAAAGCCTGTGAGCGAGTTGGGGGCAGTGCTAAACATTCAAACTGAAATAAACCTTGCAGAAACGGGTGCAGACATAACACCCAGACTACAACTTTGGCCCCTACTACTACGACTACTACAAAACAGGCTATATTCATAATAGATAGAGAAATAGATAGATAGATACTTTATTGATCTCCGTAGGAGAATGCCAAGTGTCCAGTGGCAGCAAAAAACTAAAACATTATCAATCTAAGAAGCTAACAATAATAATAATTTAAAAAAAGAAAATAAATCATAAAAAATAAGCAACAGCCTTTCAGGTCACAGCAGCAGAGATGGAGTAGCCTCTTAATTAAGTATAATCCCAGCAATAATTATCTGCTCTCTGGTCTCTCTCTTTTCCGTCTGTTTGGTCTCTCTCTGGTCTCTTGTGGTCTCAATCTGATCTCTCTGGTCTTTGGTTTCTCTCTTGTCTCTCTCTAGTCTCTGGTCTCTCTTGGTCTTTCTCTCTGGTCGAGACCAGAGAGTTAAGATTCGAGTTAAGATTCTCCATGGTTTTCTCAGTTCATTCCACATGTATGAGTCCGTTTGAAGAGTTTTCGTTAGTGCCTCGTTAGTGCCCGGAACAAACAGGTGAGGCGTTGCCACAGAGACGGGGTAAACAGTCGCCCTTTGATGTCTGAGAACAGTGCAATCTAACTGTTGAGAGTTCATTATTTGACTTTATTTTGAGTTCTTCAGGAGGTCTGAGGTCTGAGTCTGGCTCCTGTGTGAGTACTATGGCCTCGAAGCCAGACCGGACCCCCTGAGCCTCTCTGTCCTTCTCTTCTCGTTGGGTTTTTATGAGTTTGGAAAAGTAAATATTCTACTTTCACTTGTTTACACACACCAGGACTAAATCTGGATTTGAGGAGGTGCAAATCCTCTCTGGTCTCTCTCTGGTCCCTTTTGCTGGTCTTTCTCTAGACTATCTCTTGTCTTTGTCTGTCTCTCTTTGGTCTCTCTTTCTCGACTATCTCTGGTCTCTCTCTCTTTCTTTCTCGACTATCTCTGGTCTCTCTCTGGTCTCTCTCTTTCTTTCTCGACTATCTCTGGTCTCTCTCTTTCTTTCTGGACTATATCTGGTCTCTCTCTCTTTCTTTCTGGTCTCTGGGAGCTCTGTGTGGCTGATGACAGCTCCTCTCGCTGCAGACGTGAGCTCAGTGAGATAACGAGCTTCTGCTTTAATTGCCTTAATCAACAAATAGACTCGGTCAGAGCGGTGTAATGAATTGTAATATTGAGGATCCGGCGCTCTCAGAAAGTCCTTGGTCTGTTCCCACGACGACACTTTCAATAGATTCACTAAAGTCTTTTATTCTAACTCTCTCTGCTCTCTTTGCATCGACTTATTTGACTCAAACTTGAAAACACTTTCCCCAAATGCAGATAGTTTACATAAAGCAATGTCTCCAAAGTTTGGTTTAGCAAAGTCAATTAATGTGAGCTGTGGCACTGGGACAATGGTCTCAGCCTTAGTCCTAGATCTACAGCCTTAGTCCTAGATCTATAGCCTCAGTCCTAGATCTACAGCCTTAGTCCTAGAGCTACAGCCTTAGTCCTAGATCTACAGCCTCAGTCCTGGATCTACAGCCTCAGTGCTGGATCTACAGCCTCAGTTCTAGATCTAAAGCCTCAGCCCTAGATCTATAGCGTCGGTCCTGGATCTACAGCCTCAGTCCTGGATCTACAGCCTCAGTCCTGGATCTACAGCATCAGTCCTAGATCTACAGCCTCAGTCCTGGATCTACAGCCTCAGTGCTCGATCTACAGCCTCAGTCCTAGATCTACAGCCTCAGTCCTGGATCTACAGCCTCAGTCCTAGATCTACAGCCTCAGTCCTGGATCTACAGCCTCAGTGCTCGATCTACAGCCTCAGTCCTAGATCTACAGCCTCAGTCCTGGATCTACAGCCTCAGTCCTAGATCTACAGCCTCAGTCCTAGATCTACAACCTCAGTCCTGGATCTACAGCCTCAGTGCTGGATCTACAGCCTCAGTCCTAGATCTACAGCCTCAGTCCTAGATCTACAGCTTCAGTCCTGGATCTACAGCTTAAGTTCTGGGTCTGAGGCTGAATTGAATTGAAAAATGATACAAAAACCATCCTCTATCTATGTGTTCTGTGCTTACCCGATTGAACTCCCACCTCTCAGTGTTTGTCCTTGTCCGCTGTCCCTGGTTTTTCTGTTCTCTCTTGTCTCACTCACATCTCTCTCTCTCTGGTCTCTCTCCAATCTCTCTCTGTTCTCTCTGGTCTCTCTCTCTCTGGTCTCGCTCTGGTCCCTGTCTGGTCTCTTTCTCTGGTCTCTCTCTCTCTGGTCTCGCTCTGGTCCCTGTCTGGTCTCTCTCTCTGGTCTCTCTCTCTCTCTGGTCTCGCTCTGGTCCCTGTCTGGTCTCTCTCTCTGGTTTCTCTGAGGAATAGCTGTAATTAGATTTAGCGACGGTTTAGGAGCTAAGAGGATTTGTTTTAGGAAACAAAATCTGGATAATCGGACACACGGACCTCTGAGCTGAAGATGGGAAGGTCTGAGAGAAGCCTGGGAGAGGAGGGGGAGGATGGGGGACACTCTGGGGGAGAAGGGGGAGTTTGACCTTGAGCAGATCTCTCACATCTGCTTTAAAAACTAAATTAGTGTCTCAACAGGTCGCACTGTAAGTTTGGTGATTCTTATTGAATCGAAGAGAGAGACCAGAGAGCGAGACCAGAGAGCGAGACCAGAGAGCGAGACCAGAGAGCGAGACCAGAGAGAGAGACCAGAGAGAAAGTCCAGAGAGAGAGACCAGAGAGAGAGAGACAGAGAGAGAGAGAGGGAGAGAGGAGGAGGGGGACAAGAGAGATACCAGAGAGAGACAAGAGTGAGACCCGAGAGACAGACCAGAGAGACCCCAGAGAGATATCAAAGAGAGATCGGAGCGAAATTAGAGATATACCAGAGAGATATCAGCAAGAGACCAAAACGAGAGACAAGAGAGAGACTGGAGTGAGACCAGAGATAAAGACCAGAGATAGACTAGAGTAGAGAGAGACCAAAGAGAGACCAGAGAGATACCAGAGAGAGATCTGGAGATGGACAAGATAGAGACTGGAGTGAGACCCCAGAGAGCTACCAGAGGGATATCAGTGAGAGACCAGAAAGAGAGACAAGAGAGAGACTGAAGTGAGACCAGAGAGGGACCAGAGAGAGGCCAGAGAGAGACCAGAGAGAGACCAGAGAGAGACCAGAGAGACCAGAGAGAGACCAGAGAGAGAAGATGGAGAGATCAGAGAGAGACCAGATAGAGACCTGAGCTAGAGACTAGAGAGAGAGACCAGAGAGAGTCTAGAATACAGATTTATTGATTGCGTGTGAGAAATAGGCCTGAAACCTACAACAGAAACATAGGATGATGAAGACATGGAAGAAGTCATGAAGCAAAAGAGCTCACGATGTTGGTCACATGACTGAGGCTCATTCTCTCTGTCAGACTCACACTCTGCTCTAATATTTACACTAAAGCTTTACATACAGAATAGAGAGACTCCATTGCAAAGGAGGAGAAGGAGGGGGGAGTGGAGGGGAGCGCATTGAGGAGAGGGAGGAGAGAGAGGAAAGAGGAGAGAGCGAGGAGGAGGAAATAGATTAAAGGAACAAGTCAGAGATTGGAGAGGGAGGAGAGGAGAGAGGAGGAGCACTGTCTTACACCTCCTCACCGTCTCACATCTCCTCATTGTCTTACACCTCCTCACCGTCTCACATCTCCTCATTGTCTTACACCTCCTCACCGTCTCCTATCCACAAACCAAACTCCCTTCACCTTCAGTGTTACCTTCGGTTGAGACTGCGCCATGTTGGATTCACACCTGACCTGAAGCAGTAGTGTGAGCTGCTTTCTCACATATAGATGTTTTTGATCTTTGAGCTGGATTCACACTCAGGTTTAAACACTTATATCTGTGTGTTATGTATCTGTTATTTATGTATCTGTTATTTATGTATCGTCACGGATACGCTACTGCATATGTAAATTCTGCAGTCTGTGAGGGAGGAAGGTTGCCAGATTATCAGAGAGCAACAAGCCTATGGCACAGAACTACACCAACCACACACACAGAAACTCTGTAACACATCAAATATATGTCTGTTTCCTTGTTTTCTGGAGCCAGTATTTCAGATTTATGCAGCTAACATCTTCCTGACAATATGAGACAGGCTTCTTCTCTGACAATGTTCAAATCCAGGTTAAAAACAAAAAAGAAGGGATTGTATCTTTACTCTTTTAAATGCACTGTCATTTTTTCGTGATACTACTCTGCCCTACAAATAAACTTGCCGTGCCTAAAACTCGATGTTTCCTTGTGTTTTGTGTGAAACTAGATCAGCAGAACAGGAAAAAACAGTAGTATCATAAACCTTCCCGCAAAGAGGCTCAGTCAACCCCTCTGTTGCTGCATTAGCATTAGCATTAGCAGCCGGTGATGCAACACGTTTGATTCAGATGTTGCCGTTCTCTGAACAGTGTCTGTTTGTTTGTGTCTCTGTGTGTGTGCTTGCAGTCGCTGTGCGCAGACATTCGCGCTCGCCGCCGCGCTGTGGCCTCCGTCCTCAAGCTCTGTCAGAAGCTGCTGCAGCAAAACCAGGTAAGAATGCACAATGTTCTGTCTTTCTATCTTGTTTTGTGCCTTGTGTATGAACTGTGCTATACAAATAAACTCTTTTTCAGGTGAGCCCCACGCTGGAGTTGGGCCCTGAGGCTCAGCAGCACCAGGAGGCACTCCTGCTGCTGTCCATTAACCTGGAGAGGCGCTGGGAGGCCATTGTCATGCAGGCGCTACAGTGGCAGAACAGGCTGCGGAGAGAGATGGGGGAGGAGCAGGTGAGACACACACATAGAGACACTAACACACGCATATGTAGCCCGGATTTCCTCCTGTCGCTCCTGGTGTGATGTGTGATGATGTGAGGCTCAGCTCTGTGCCTCACCTCCACTGATTTGACTCGTACAGAGGTGGGAGCAGTAGATTCACACCGAGCTCCAGAACCCGTGAAAGCAGCCAATCAGAACGGGATGCAGCCTCTGTGGCACAAACACATACTCACAATGGCCCTCATTTAAGAAACTTGTGCAGAAAAGGGTGTACATTTTGGGTGTATTTTCAAAATACACAAGATCCAACATGGGATTTATGAACGTTTGAGATCCTTCCAGATCCGAGCGTAAGCACCTGCGGCTGTTGATGAATGTTGCGTCTGAAAACGAATGTATTAATGAAAGTCACGCCTATAAATATGCAGCAAGCTCCTGTATCACGCCCCGTTTTTGCGACATAGCTGAATGGAAGACGGCAAGGTGACTGTTTGGAACCCTCAAATGGCCTGTGGCATGACCTCCTGAAGAGTTGAGTTTGTTCATGTTTGGTTAAAAAGAAATATTTGCTATATTAAAGTCCAAGAGAGCACCTGCCATTTGGAGTGAGCAAGACCACAGTCCATCGGTCCATTTGTTTATGCACAAAACAAATGAAAAAATACATGACTTTTCCAGATGTGAAGAAGGCAAAACAAATAACCATGTGTAATTACGCAGCGCAGGGCCTGCCACAGATTTACGGAGCAATAGATGGGTCACACATCCCTGTTGCTTTAGTAAGTCAAGTGTATTTGTATAGCGCCTTTCAAAGACCAGGATCAAAAAGCGCTTACACTTAAAAAACATACAGATGATAATAATACACATACAAGTCAGATTTAAAAACGAAGAAACAGGGTCCTCATAATGAACTGTGATTTATTCGAAGTTTGCGTGTTTTCTGATGCGCAAATAAAAATGTTCTCTTATAACTTTGCCAGTGGGAACATGTTTATTGTTGTGCAAATCTTGAATTTCATGTGTGTTTTTGGGTATTGTAAGAAAGGTTGAGATGAGCGTACATTTACGCCACCTCCAGACTCGGTGTATATTTTGTGCGGACCACACGCTCACTTCCAGATTGATAAATGTCGAAGTGCACATTTTTTTACCTCATTTACGTCTTGGTTTGGCCATACGCAATTTTCATAAATGAGGGCCAATGACAGAACCACACACACATACATACACATAGACACACACCCACATACACACGCATACACACAGAAACGCACACGTAAACACACACACAGACAGACAGACACACACACAGACACACACGGCAACTGCTGCGTCTCTTGTTTTGATAAAGTGCTGATATCTCTCCATGGCCTCGCACCAAAATATATTAGTGACATGTTAGTCCCATATGAACCAGCCCGGACTCTGAGGAGCACAGGGACTGGACTCCTGTTAGTGCCCAGAGTCAGAACTAAACATGGGGAGGCTGCTTTTCAGATTCATGCTGCAAAAATCTGGAACAATCTTCCTGAAGATGTGAGACAGGCCTCCTCTCTGACAATGTTTAAAACCAAGTTAAAAACGGTTCTGTTTGGCTATGCATACAACTGAGGGATTTTATATTTTTATCTTTCGTTTTAATGTTCTGTGATTATTTATGATTTTAATGCTATCTTGTTCAGCACTTTGAGTTGCCTTGTGTATGAATTGTGCTATACAAATAAACTTGCCTTGCCTGATATTATAAAGTTGCTGTGTTCCTCTCTCTCCTCTCTCTCCTCTCTCTCCTCTCTCTCTCCTCGCTCTCCCCTCTTTCTCCCCTCTCTGTCCTCTCTCTCCCCTCTCTCCTCTCTCTGTCCTCTCTCTCCTCTCTCTCCCCTCTTTCTCCTCTCTCCTCTCTCTCCCCTCTCTCCTCTCTCTGTCCTCTCTCTCCTCTCTCTGTCCTGTCTCTCCCCTCTTTCTCCTCTCTCCTCTCTCTTCTCCCTCCCCTCTTTCTCCTCTCTCTCCTTTCTCTCTCCTCTCTCTTCTCTCTCTCCTATTTCTCTCCTCTCTTCTCTCTCTCCTCTTGTGTGTAATGGTCGACTCTATATTCGAGTGAGAGAGAAGTGGGGGAGGCGCGGGGGAGGAAATGATGTGGACTTCATCAACTCCCGTCAGTCACATGTGGCAGAGGGTCGTGATCCGTGAAACTGTGGAAATGTTCTACAGTGTTCTGGAGATGACCTCGTTCATAAATCAGTTTAAAGCAGAAGTAATGGTGGAACAAAACACTGGTCTCTCTCTGGTTTCTCTCTGGTCTCTCTCTGGTTTCTCCCTGGGGTCTCTCTTTGGTCCCTCACTGCTTTCTCTGCTCCCTCGCTCTGGTTTCTCCCTGGTCTCTCTTTGGTCTCTCACTGCTTTCTCTGCTCCCTCTCTCTGGTTTCTCCCTGGGGTCTCTCTTTGGTCTCTCACTGCTTTCTCTGCTCCCTCGCTCTGGTTTCTCCCTGGTCTCTCTCTTTGTTCTCTCACTGCTTTCTCTGCTCCCTCTCTCTGGTCTCTCTCTGGTTTCTCCCTGGTCTCTCTTTGGTCTCTCACTGCTTTCTCTGCTCCCTCTCTCTGGTTTCTCCCTGGGGTCTCTCTTTGGTCTCTCACTGCTTTCTCTGCTCCCTCTCTCTGGTTTCTCCCTGGTCTCTCTCTTTGGTCTCTCACTGCTTTCTCTGCTCCCTCTCTCTGGTTTCTCCCTGGTCTCTCTCTTTGGTCTCTCACTGCTTTCTCTGCTCCCTCTCTCTGGTCTCTCTCGGTTCTCTAGTTACGTTCATCATGTTTTGTTATTGGCAGTAAATATGAAATGATTTTCTCATGAAAAGGTGGACTTTATTTGTATCGCACTAAAATGGCTTTCCATAAAACTACTCGGTGAAAGGTAAACTGTATCAGGGCATTCAACAATGTTCATCTCCTGCGTTTCCGCACGTGTCGAGTCGCTGTACCACATCGCGACTATTCGTCTGCCACCGGACAAACCTGCCGCACATGTGAATATTCGCACAGACATGTGTCACTGATGACTTTGCATTGAACCGCAACGCATGGTCTGGTCTGATGGCCATTACCACATGTTACATTAGAGAATTTCAGAGATCAGGTGTCATTCTTGAGTGGTATTTGAATTTGCTCACTGTAACAATGAATCAATATCATTCTCACCTCAAACATTTGTCCCAGTGTGGATCACTTATCTGGCTGTGTTTCCCTCTGTCGTTGTTGTTTCCTCTGGTATCCAGCTGTGAGGTCGTTCCCATGATGCTCTTTGATTCATAGAAACCTGGGAAGAAACCATTTGGCCATTTTTCACCTCAACGTTCAGTGAAACAGCAGCAACAGGAATAAAAAGGAGACATTAATCATGTCCAGGCTCAGAGTGTGTGTGTGTGTGTGTGTGTGTGTGTGTGTGTGTGTGTATCTCTGTGTGTGTGTGTATCTCTGTGAGTGTGTATTTGTGTGTGGGTGTTAATGCCCAGAACTTTTACACTTTCTTGTGTATCTGTTTTGATAAGAGCTAATATTGTGGTACTATGGCGGCTCTGGGCACTTTCAGAACAAGTTTGGATCTTGGTAACTATAAACTAAGTCTAAAGCAACAGTAAATATAGACTTTTCTCTTCTTTTCTCTGGCTTTAATCCCGGTCAAGTCCTTCAGACCTGGTTTAGGCATGATTTAGTCGGTTCAGGCCTGGTTCAGACCTGGCTTGGACCTGGCTCAGACCTGGCTTGGACTTGGCCCAGACCGGTCTCAGACCTGGCTCAGACCTGTCTCAGACCTGGCTCAGGCCTGGCTTAGACCTGGGACAGACCTTGTTCAGACCTGTCTCAGACCTGCCTCAGACCTATCTCAGACCTGGTTCAGACCTGGCTTAGACCTGGTTTAGACCTGGTTTAGACCTGGTTCAGACCTCCTGGTGTTGATCTTTAGTCAGACAAACAGGCGTCATGTTTATTCCCTGCTCCTCAAACCAAATGTTGTTCTGAAAGTGACACAAATTCGAGCGTCTGATCATTTTACACAAACGCTCTCAGCCTCAAGCTCATAAATCTCACACCAACAAAGACATGAATAATTCAGAGCCCACTCCCCAGACATCAGTAAATAGAGAATCAAAGAGAGAAACTACAGCAGCGTAATGTACAAACTGCTCAGAGGACAGAGACGTGTAGGCCTATGCAAATCACCACAGGGAGGGGGGGAGAGGAGAGAAAGAGAGGAGGGAGAGAGAGACAGAGACGTGTAGGCCTAATGCAAATCACCAGAGAGGATAGAGAGAGTGGGAGTTGAATGAAGGAGAGAGAGAGAGAGGGTGGGGAGAGAGGGAGAAAAGAGGGAGACAGATAGGGATGGGAGAGAAAAGAGAGCAGTGTAGGCCTAATGCAATGAAAGAGGACGAGAACACACTCTCTGGGGAAGTCAAGTGTGTCGCCTGCAACATTTGATAAAAACAATGAATTAAAAAAAACAACAATTAAAATGACAATAAACATAAAACAATAAAATTAAGGTCCATTGGACTTTTCTCTAACTTTTTTAATTCTCATGAACATAACATTCACCTGGTTTTCCTTCTCTTTTCTCAGGTCCCTGGAAACTTCCTGGAGCCCGGTCTGGTCGACCTCCATCAGATCACGTCCGTGCAAAACACCGCAACGCCTGGAATGTTAACGGACGACTCATGGGAATGGGATGAGACTGACATGACCCTCTCCGACTCCAACGAGGACACGCCAGAGCCTGTCCAGGATCCAAACCAGGAACCAAACCACAACCAGAGAAACTCAAAAGTGTACCAGGTCTACAGCCTTCACCATGTGGAGCGGGAGCCGCTTTTCCCACTACAGAATGGGAAAAACAAGAAGCACAAGTTTTTGGCCAAATCGTTGAGTAAAGACTCTTCGTTTTCGTCTGTGGAGTCGCTGCCGGACGTTTTGGGAGGAATCCTGAAGCACAAGCAGGATTCATGGAACAAGAAGTCCAAGAGCGAGTTTGAATGCAGGATCTCGGTGAGCAGCCGCCGGTCAGGAAGCGAGAGTGGGATTGACACCGGAGACACAGAGACAATTACTTCAGAAATACAGGATTATGAGGAGGGCAAGAGGGAGGACAGATGCAAGCTGGAAGGATTTGGAAATCACAAGGAAGACTTGGGAAGTTTATGTAGGGATTCAGAAAGAATGGAAGACTTTGCGAGTAGTTACATGAAGAAGAAGAGATCGAGGAAATCAGGAGAAGCTGTTGAAATGTTGATAAATGGACGCGGGATTCTGACCCCGGCTGATTCTGACTCAGATTTAGACTTCGAATCCATGAAACAACTTCAAGAAAACAGGTCCAGTCCAGTTTTATCTCACGGTTCGTCTCTGGAGTCGCTGTTAGCGCTGGGAGTGGAGCTGTTCCCATCTCAGCACGGCGCTTACCGTAGCATCGACGACAGTAACGAGGAAACAGCTGAAAGAGAAGAGTCTGAATCTGTAAAATCTGAGGAGCTGAGCCGCCGCACGCTGGAGCTTCTGAAGCGGCTGGAGAACATCCAAAGCCCGTTAGGAGGAAGTCTGACCCGCAGCGTCTCCGATATGGCGCTGGTTAGCATGTCCCCAAACCGCATTCCTGCCTCTCCCTCTCTTGGCGGGAAAATATCTCCTCTGTCTGGCATCGCTTTCCACTTGAGTCCACCGTCTTTGATCCATGAAGGCTCCGCGACCGCCTCCCTCACCGAGCTCAGCAGCGCAGAGGAGGTGTCTCAGGCATCGGCCGATTTCAAAAGCAGATTCCTGGATCCCGCTAATGCTGCTAACACAGCTAACGCCAACTTCTACTGCAGAAAGCAGGTGAATAGATTGGAGGAGATGGACGGGGCTAGCTTGAGCATGGTGGTGAATGTGTCGTCTGCGTGTACGGACGACGAAGATGACAACAGCGACCTTCTATCTGCGTCGACGCTGACTGAGGAGGAGCTCGGCGTCCGGGACGAAGATGAGGAACGGTTCAGCGTTGCATCTTCTGCTAACGAGGACGACCTGGACTCTCCGTTTGGCCTGGACGTCATGCAGAAAGAGCTTCAGCACTGGATCAGAACTCCCTTCTCCAGGTCTGAGAAGGGGCTGACAGACGAGCTCCAGTGCGGTGCAAACGTCCGCAGCGAGAGCGCAGAAACAACCACCACATGTTCACAGCTCCCCATTAGCAAACGCCACCGCAGTGCGCAAGAGAACAGGCGCAGCGCCACAAGGAGCTACATCAGCCGATACGCAGACGACGTGGAGAACGGGAATGTGGAGCAGAGCTGGGAGCGGCGTAGAGATGCGGATGAGGAGCTGCTGCGAGAGGAGGCCAGCGTGTTTACAAAGATACCTGCAAGAGACCTGTTTGTGTGCACCCACACGGAGGAGCCGCCGCATGATGTGAGCGAAGACGCAGACAAGACGCCTCTGGTGGAGCAGCTGCAGGGTGAGCTTCCGTGCCACAGTTCTCTAACGCAGACGCAGCGTGTGCCGCAGGGAACGTCACCGCTGCAAAAGACGAACGCCAGGAAAGCCATCACCATCCAGGAGAGGTTCAAGTTCATGTCGTTAGTGACGGAGCAGGCCAGACGGGAGGTCAGGGAGGGGGGGGCTAAGAGGCGGCATGGTTCGCACTGCTGTGGTCATCGTCCTGGATCCTCAAGTTTCTCTGAAGAAACACGACCGAACGAGGAGAACGTGCATGACTTTGTGATGGAGATAATGGACCTGACAAATGCCAGGAAGAACCGAGCGCAGACGCAGACGCAAATGCAGACGCAGGCCGGAACACAGGGAGCAACCATCAGAGACAAGGTTTGAGCACATTCTAATTAAAGCTGAGGGACGTAACTTTCAAACCACAACAATAGAACAACATAAGAAAATCCACCAGGAAGAAGCCGCCTGTTCTTCACTTCTATCACTAGTTTTCACATTTCACCCTCTGTCACATTTTTAAAATCAAGATTAGATTAAGAGATCCTTTATTCTTCCCACAGTGGAAATGTCAGTGTTGCATCACCAGTTACAAAACAGTAGGAATGAGGAGCACACAGCACAAGTAAATATTACTGTAAGTATACCACAAAAATAAAATAAAATGTCTCTTCTATATGCTTCTGTATTATCTTTAGCTTAATAAAGAAACAGTACAAAATATGAAGTACTCTCAAATTAAATAAGTTTAAGTTTTCATTTGCATCCGTTCCATCCCGTGGTTCATCTCGTGGTTTGTCTCATGGTTCTTTTCATGGTTTTTCACATGGTTTTTTCTCGTTCTAAAGGTTGAAGTTTTGATGCTGAGTTACTGCGTCCTGCCTGACCCTGTGTTTCGCTCAGACTCAAATCTAAAAAGTCTTTTTCGTTTTAATGTGTTCACCCAGACGCGCTAATTCAATAAATCGCTTCATGGATCAGGGCTGCAAAAGTAATGATGATTTCTGCCTCTGCGTTCACCAGCTCATCAGCCGACTCCCAGCAGATCAAAGACACCAGCGGATCAAACACACCAGCGACACAAAGACACCAGCGACACCATCAACCCAAATAACACACACAACACAAAGACACCCCTAGTCTGTCTCTGATCTCTCTCTCTGGTCTGTCTCTGGTCTTTCTCTCTGGTCTGTCTCTGGTCTTTCTCTGGTCTTTCTCTCTGGTGTCTCTCTCTCTCTCTCTCTCTGGCCTCTCTCTCTGGCCAGAACTTTGAGACATGGGTTTAATACAGACTTCTATTGTTGTGGTTTGAAAGTTACGTCTGCCAGCTTTATCTTGTCCCTGTACAGTAGATGTGTAGAGGAGACAGATGACCCTGCTGGTTCTCTCCTGGTTCTCTCAGGTGTTGGATCACACTCACCGGTCAGTGCAGCTGCGCAGAGGAGACTTCTACTCGTACCTTTCGCTCTCGTCACACGACAGCGACTGTGGAGAAGTTCTACAGCTCAACAACACCTCACCCACACCGGAGCTCACAGCCTCACCCCACTCCCCCACCTCCCCCAGTCCGGATCCCTTCCCTAGTACTGATCCCTGCCCAAGTCCGGATCTCTGCCCCAGCCTCGAACAGTTTGAGTAAGTACTGTACTTAATACTTCCTCTATCTTGATTCTTTTCTCTTTTCTCCATGTTTCATCATTGTTCCCCAGTTTTGTTATTTTTTCAGGTGAAATGACAGTCTTTATAATCACATTCAAAGTTGGGAAAAAGAACTCACTCTAGTCCTCTCTCTGGTCTCTCTCTGGATTCTTTCTGTGGTCTCTTGCTGTTCTCTCTTTTGTCTTCTTCTGCTTTATCCGTTGCCATACTGGGAAGGCAGCGGTCAAAGCAGAGACACTCATGGGAACGCTATGAATTCAATTTCCATGCACATTGGAAGCACATGCACAACATTTCAGACGCTGAATAAAGTACTGCCCTGCTTTTGCGCACAGCGGAAGTGGCGGGAGGGCTTTGATGCTAACGGAGTTAAGCTTGCGGCTTTATGTGTAAACTCCAAGAATGCAGCTGTGCAGCAGCTCTGTGTCCGGAGATTTTTCAGAGACTTTATAGAACAGCAGAATGTGTTAACAAAGGTGCGCCATAAGTTTATTTTATTATTAAGTGGTACTTCCGCATCAGTGAACGCGTTAGCTGCACTTGCTAAGAGTCACGGAAGAATGAGAACTCAGGCTGGAAGCATTTATTCACAAGTCCTGGTTTAGCTTAGCTGTTTGCGAGTATCTTCAGTCTGCTCGCTCAGACCACTAGTGACCGCGTGATCACTTTGCGGCTCGAAATTATTGTGTGACAAATTGAACAAACACTGGCCCAGAATCAGCTCTAACCTGTCATCTTCACCTTCAGTAAACCCGCAGACATGGTGCATCCTCTGAGTCCGGACATCCGCGACGAGGAGAAGCTCTTCCCAGCATGCACTGAGGAGGTGTACCTGGGCCCCCCCCTCTGCTACAGCCTGAGCGCCCCCAGAGGACAGAGAGGGGTACTGCAGACCAAGACGACCCCCAGTCTGAAGTGTGACCCTGGGAACGTCCGCAGTGTGGGACTCAGCTACTACTCTGTGCTGCAGAGAGAAGACACAGGTAAGACACCGGTGTAGCTCCCAAAGCAGTCTGGCCACTCTGCTGCAGTACACATGTGCTAATGCTGAGAACTACGTTTTTGCCAAACCATCACAGCACTAACCAGGCCCAGCCCTGCTTAGCTTCAGTGTCTTGTTACAATCAAATGATAAAAGGGACAATGATAAACCAGAATGATCCCATCGACTCCATCTACAACAAACTAGCAGACGACAATTAAGTTGTTTTTAAACCTAAACATAAATCTATTTTAAAATTAGTGGATCTGCAAACTGCTGTTCTGACAGAGACTCAGGTGACGTGCAAAGATTGGAGAGTTTTACCTTACCCCTCTCTCTCCTCTCCTCTGGCCACACATGCCTCAGTCTCCCTCTCTCTCCCCTCTCCTCTGGTCAGCTGTTTGTTGGAGTGATTTGGTTGTGTGTAAAGCACCATATTTGTCTTTATACTGGCATTAGCTTGGACCCAATTAAACTCTGAAAACAGAGTTTCAAGGTTTCTCTCACACCAAATGTAGCAGAAGAAGAGAAGTATCTGAAGCCTCAGTCACTTTACAACCTGTGGAGTCTCATTGTTTCTGTGGCTCGTTCTAATCTATCCACACCTCTCTGTCTCCTTCCATGTCTCCTTCCTTGCTTCCTCGTTTCCTTTCCTCCTCGGGTTCCTTCAGGGGGCTGTCAATCATCCCGTCTCTTCAGTGAGGGCGGAGTCCGAGCCATGACACCGTGACGGTGAGTTCAGAATAATCAGCTGTCTCCGCAGTCACAGCTGCCCTGAGGCAACAGCTGTCACACACACTGACATCCACGTCCTATAAACATGATCTTCAGGATGTTTATCAGGATCTGGAATCATATCTAAATCTTTTTCACACTGCAGCTCCGGGACCGAGGGGGGAAAGCTTACCGTGTTGTTTGGACCCATGTCAACTTTTCAGTGGTGAAGATAAAGTTTAGGCAGATTTAACTCTGTCCTGCTCCTTTTCATACATGAAAATAGTCATCATTAAAGTAGTAGTACAAGCAGTAGTAGTATTAGTAGTAGTAGTAGAACTTGCATAGTTGTAGGAGTAGTAGCAGTAGTGGTATCAGAGTTTATTTGTTGCATTAGCCTTGAGGCAGCTGCAGGCACTGAGAGCCCTCTGCCCTCCACACACACACACACACAGAGAGAGAGAGACACACACACACACACACAGAACATTCGCACATACACATATACACACACACAGAGTTTTCTGTTCTCTTTTACAATCATACTATATAGTGAGACCGGAGAGAGAACAGAAAGAGAACAGAGAGAGTAGAGGAGAGTAGAGAAGAGATTCCTCTGAAGCCTCAGTCTGAGAGTTGGGGTTAATTCAATACTATATTATCTTTTGGACTCAGTGTAAATATTCCACTGTCTGTCACTGCGTGTGTTTAGAGCCTGCGGCACTGTGTGACCCTGCCCTACACACACATACACACACACACACACACACACACACACAGGGAGACACACACATATCCACAACCACAATCCCGAATTTATCATTATATTTCTGTAGACTACTCAGTTTTATGTTCAAATTCACCAATAGCTATTGGTTAAAGGTCTGCCAGATCGACGTCTGTCTCAGTCCTGTAACAGCATGATTTCATTGTAGCATTATGACATCACTATGACATCACACTCAGAGCAGTTCTCTGCCTTTATAACAAAAGTATTGCACATCTAATAGTTTTGGTGATTTCTCTGGTCTCTGGGCTCTCTCTCTGCTCTCTCCGCTCTCTCTGCTCTCTCTGCTCTCTCTGCGCTCTCTCTCTGCTCTCTCTGCTCTCTCTCTGCTCTCTCTCTGCTCTCTCTGCTCTCTCTGCTCTCTCTCTGCTCTCTCTGCTCTCTCTCTGCTCTCTCTGCTCTCTCTCTGCTCTCTCTGCTCTCTCTCTGCTCTCTCTGCTCTCTCTGCTCTCTCTCTGCTCTCTCTCTGCTCTCTCTCTGCTCTCTCTCTGCTCTCTCTGCTCTCTCTGCTCTCTCTGCTCTCTCTCTGCTCTCTCTCTGCTCTCTCTGCTCTCTCTCTGCTCTCTCTCTGCTCTCTCTGCTCTCTCTCTGCTCTCTCTGCTCTCTCTGCTCTCTCTCTGCTCTCTCTCTGCTCTCTCTGCTCTATCTCTGCTCTCTCTGCTCTCTCTGCTCTCTCTCTGCTCTCTCTCTGCTCTCTCTCTGCTCTCTCTCTGCTCTCTCTCTGCTCTCTCTCTGCTCTCTCTGCTCTCTCTGCTCTCTCTCTGGTCACTGGTCCCTCACCTAAACAGTCTAATTTCCATCTTTTTTGTGTTTCCTGTAGTTTTCTGGGAGACCGCTGCCCCTGGGTCTCTGCCTCGGGATCTTGACCCAGAGAAGAGGCCTCTCCCATGGGTCTCCTCTGTCCCCTGGGACTCCTCTGTCCCCTGGGTCTCCTCTGTCCCCTGGGTCTCCCCTTTCTCCTTGCTGCACTAAAATAAACTAAACTCACATTCTAATACATTCACCAAAGGACTCTGGGAAATGAACTCACAGAAGAATACACATTAATCTCAACATTTCATATTTCTCATTAGCTTTTTCTTGGAATCGCGGTGCTTGGAATTGTATTAATATTATTTATTTTAACTTATGCAATTGTAGGTTTTAATCTGCAGAATATGTCACTGTTTCATGACTTTTTGCTCTTGTTTTTTATACTATAGTTTTTTTTATGAATTTGAAGAGGCGTAGTTTGATGTCCTTTACTGATCTGTTTGAACGTTAAACACATATTATTTTGAATGCATGAAATATCAATAGATCAAGTAAATGACAAAACATATTCTGTGTTAAACATATACTGGTCAAATACTTGTGAATCAAAGAAAACGTCAGAATCATCTCCAGACTTTAATTTTCAAAAGCTGTGATGTTTCCTGCATCTGTCACTGTGTTCAGACCAGAGAGACAGTATACAGATGGACTCTTTGGTCTCTCCCTGGTCTCTCTCTCTAGTCTCACTCTCTGGTCTCTCTCTGGTCTCTCTCTGATCTCTCTCTCTGATCTCTCTCTCTGGTCTCTCTCTTGTCTCTCTCTTGTCTCTTTCTGGTTACTCTCTAGTATATCTTTGGTCTCTCTCTAGCCTCTCTCTTGTCTCTCTTTCTGGTCTCTCTCTCTGCCCTCTCACTGGTCTCTCTCTCTGATCTCTCTCTCTGGTCTCTCTCTTGTCTCTCTCTTGTCTCTTTCTGGTTACTCTCTAGTATATCTTTGGTCTCTCTCTAGCCTCTCTCTTGTCTCTCTTTCTGGTCTCTCTCTCTGCCCTCTCACTGGTCTCTCTGGTCTCTCTCTGGCCTCTCTCTTGACTCTCTGGTCTCTCTCCCTGTCCCCCTCTGGTCTCTCTCTGGTCTCGCTCTAGTCTCTCTTTGGCATCTCTTTGGCATCTCTCTGGTCTCTCTCTCTGGTCTCTCTCCTGCCCCCCTCTGGTCTCTCTCTGGTCTCGCTCTAGTCTCTCTTTGGCATCTCTCTGGTCTCTCTCTGGTCAATTGATCTGGTTTATCAGGCCCAGGGACTGCCCCATTGTGACGCTGGTGGGTCACAATATCCATCTCTAATATACAAACTCTTGTTCAAAACAAAAGCCCCTGGACCTGGTTATATCAGCATTGACAGCATAAAGAATGGCCAAAAACAACACTTTTACAGTATCAGCGCTCTTGACCAGAGCTAGCCACGTTAGCTAGCCACTTTAGCATAGCATTTCTTGTTTCTGTGACTATAATCCTGTTTAAAGTGCTGTAAATGAACTATCACCGGAACAGCTGCTTTTAGCACTTACCTGCACCAGGACTTTTGTTTAGTATCACATGGGTAAGCTCCGGAAGTGTCTCAGATCTATGCAACACGACCAAAGTGTCTCTGCGTGTTGTGTCTCTCTGTCATTGGCATCCTCTCCATGTGTGTGTCCAGGTGTGTGTTCTCTGGGCACTCCTCCTGGTGTGTGTCCAGGTGTGTGTTCTCTGGGCACTCCTCCTGGTGTGTGTTCTCTGGGCACTCCTCCTGGTGTGTGTCCAGGTGTGTGTTTGCTGGGCACTCCTCCAGGTGTGTGTGTTTGCTGGGCACTCCTCCAGGTGTGTGTCCGTGTGTGTGTTCTCTGGGCACTCTGGACGGTGGTGCCTTGTGCCTTGTGTGACTGAGATTGTGGCGTAAATACAAACTTGGAAATGCTTGCTGTTGTATGTGAAACGTGTTATTTACAACTTTAGGGACATTTAAAGCTTGATGCATGAATCCTGCTGCGGACAACTCTTCAATAAACTTCAAAAACCAAAAAGAAGGAACATCAGTTGTGTGCTTTTGTCTCAATGTGTGTTGTCTGACTGCGACACGGGGAGAATATGCAAACTCCAGAAATATTTTTGCACAAAACTAGTGTAAAACATCTATTTATACATCAGATTAAAGCTGAGGGACGTAGCTTTGAAAGCATAACAACAGAACTCGACTATTGTTTTTTCACTTGTTTTTGCATCATGAGTTTTTGTCACGACCTCAAAAACCAACCTTTTCAGTCTTAAGTTTAATAAAGTGAGACTAGAGTAAAACCAGAGAGAGACCAGAGCAGAGGTGGGACAAAGTCACTGTTTGCCATTTTACAACTTCTTTAATTCAATTCAACTTGAATTTCAAAGTCTCAATTTATTGCCCTATTAAGTGTAGACAGACAAGTCTCTAGTCCTACAGTTTGACTTTTGAGCCCCTTTGTCTTTTTGACTGCGATGTGTTTCTCTTTGGTTTCCACGTAATTTTTGAAGGCAAACAATTAATCTTAGAAATCATTCAAGGTTGTTGTCTGGCCTATGGAATAATAGCTTGTTCCATGTGTTTAGCCGCTTCGAATCAAAACAATCTTCGTGATTTGTTTGATGTTGTGCCAAATGCGAGCATGCTCCTTGCCACACAGGCCCACACACGTAAACAGAGATAGAGCAGTTCATGTCAACATACTTTTTATCTTTGGGGCTTTTATGCGAAGTATCGAGGCTTTACAAGTCCAACAGTGACTCACAGGGCTCTTCCTCACACACCTGTTGTGCAGGGGAGAGTGTTACCGTACAAACACTGAAATAATCTGGAGCTGGAATCAGACTCAGGACCTTCTCTCTGTGCCCTCCTGACCTTAACTTTGGTGCATATTTTGGGGAGTGGGAGGAAATCGGAGCACCTGGAGGAAATCCACCCAAACACAGGAAGAACACAAATACTCCTCAACGGAGGAGGATTGAAACCAGGACCTTCTGACTGTGAGGCTTTAGCTCCGCTATGCTCTACTCTGCTCTGCTAAGAAGGACCTGGGGCTGGTTGAATGCATGTTGTGCTTGAGTATCGTCTCTGACCAAAACAAAATGATTACTCGTGGAACTGATTGAAGCCAAACCAAACATTATGAATTTCTAACACAACAGTCGATAAATTCATTTAAAACATGTATTTTTTGACCTCGTTGTCTTCATGAACGGCAAAAGCACAGTTTGAATCTCAGTTGTGTTGAACCTGTGATTACGGTCAGAGATCAGTCTTTAATCAACAAAACAAATATGCTATTATTATTATTATTATCAGAAACAGAGACGAGACGAGGACAGAATATAAATGTGTGGAAGAGACTGAACCATAGACAGAGACCATTATCAAGAACATTGCACCTAAAAACCAGGACAAAACATGGATAAAAGCATTGAAAAGCTACGGATTTACTGCTCAGTCCCCTCCCTCACCTCTAGTTCTGAGGGAGCAGCGTCTGTAGTCATAGCTCCCTCACCTCTGGTCCTGAGCTTTGAATAATGACCTAAAAAAAAGATTGCAGATACAAGCAGTCCATGAGTTTCCTTGGAATAGAGCCTTTGCTCCTCCACTAGAGAAAGACCAGAGAGAGACTCATCCAAACTGCTCTCAGCCCAAAGAGTCAAATAGTGACTCACAGGGCACTTTATTACACCAAAGATGTTTTCTAATGTGGCTGGTTTATTCACATTGTTGACGTTGGTCAAATCTGTGTCATTCTGAGTGTAAAAGTGAGAGACCTATGAGCTTTAACTCCACAGAGTGATGTCACACTCTTCTGCCTCTGTGTCGTTGATGTCAGTGTTTTGACGTGTTTCCCGCTGAGGTATTTCACTTCTTTACACTTCTGTGACAGCGTCTCTCTGCTCTGATTCACTTGACCTTTAGCGCCGGCGCATGCTAAGCGCACGAGACGCTAATTGTGAATAAATCTGTTTGTTTTGAGTTAATTTGACGTCTGTTTGAGGCATGACACGAGAAACAGTCACAGTGCTTCTAAACTGTGAGGTTTATCCGAGAGATAAACTGTGGCTTCCTAATCACTATATTTAGATTATCTCTGGCCTAGTCATTATAATAGTCTTTACTCTTTTCTCTTTCTCCATGTTCCAACATTGTTCTTCTTCAGTCACAGACCTGGAGAGATGTGTTAAGATCCACCCACGCTGACATCAGAAACTTCTGACACACACTTGTAGCTCCGCCCCTTCACACTCAGAGTCATCTGCCTTTAAAATTAAGTTTTTGTATCTTCTCTTGTCTCTTGAATTTCTGGGGAAAGTCCTTGGTAACCATGGCTTCCAGCATAACTCTGTTGAATCACTACAGTTAGAGCAGAGCAGAGTAGAGTAGAGCAACTTCTCAGTCTTTCTCACATCCCAGAGACAGAATTTTTTATTTTGAACGGTCCATCACTATGACAACCACATCATTCGGAAAATGTGCGTCTTCTGTTTATGTATGAACCTGACTCACACAACAACTTGTCGTTTGGAGCTCGGTTGTAAGTGCTGCTCACACAGAGAGCCATGTCTTCAGACGAGGAGCAGGAAGCTACCATCGAACCAGAGAGCACTCAGAACGAAGACCAGATACTGGAGGAACTGGAGATCAGCAGGGGGATCCTCACCATCATCCACAAGTTGGAAAGACTACAGAGAAGGCAAAGAAGCGAACAATTCTTCAGAACAATGGTCCGACAGAGGAGCAGAGACATGGAAGAGAGGGCAGAGACGAGAGAGAGTGCAGGAGATCTGGCAGAGGGAACGCTGGGAATGATGCAGGACACCACGCCAGAGCAGTGGTTAGCAAACATCCGTGAACAGGGGAGTTCAGTACAAGCCAGGAGACCAGAGAGAGCAGGAGGATCGGAGGACCAGAAGGCACAGGCAGGCTCTCAGGGAAGGACTTTTGAAAAGATTGATGAACGAGGGGAAAGATGAAAGCAGACAAGAGGTGGCAGACAGGGTACAAGTGAGAGGACCAGAGGAGAGGCAAGGGAACCAAGAAGGCTGCGCTAGCGGGAAGCTATCAACAACAGCTCAAAGAAGGGAAGAAGCGAGGAGGCGAGCAAACAGAGAGAGAGAAGAAGGAAAAGTTAATTTAAATCAGATAGAGGACAGGCTGCAACCAGGGGGATCTGCAAGCATCAGAGCAAGAGCTGCCGCAGTGATAAGGCGACAAAACAGAGCAAGAGAAGAGAGACAAATTATAATCAATCAGATTATGGAGAGGCTGCGACGCCAGAGAGGGGCAAGCAACCAACAGGTACAGGATGTGGAGGAAACAAGATGTTCTTCTCCAGAGACAGAAGCAAGAGAGCAAGCTAGCACCCAAGCAAGGGCTGAAGAAGCAAGAGAACAAGCAAGAGAGCAAGCCATCACCCGAGCAAGGGTTGAAGAAGCAGGAGAGGAAACTATCACTCGAGCAAGGGCTGAAGAAGCAAGAGAGCAAGCCATCACCCGAGCAAGGGCTGAAGAAGTAAGAGAGCAAGCCATCACCCGAGCAAGGGCTGAAGAAGCAAGAGGGCAAGCTAGCACCCGAGCAAGGGCTGAAGAAGCAAGAGGGCGCGCTAGCACCCGAGCAAGGGCTGAAGAAGCAAGAGGGCAGGCTAGCACCCGAGCAAGGGCTGAAGAAGCAAGAGGGCAGGCTAGCACCCGAGCAAGGGCTGAAGAAGCAAGAGGGCAAGCTAGCACCCGAGCAAGGTCTAGAGCAGATAAAGGAACACAGACTGAAGACATGGGAAGTAAAGATACAAAGATACATGAGGAGGTACTAACATGTTCTCAAGAGGCGAGGGAAGTGAAAGAGCAACCAAGTGTTCAAGAATTAGACCAGGAAGGAACAGAGAGACACATGCAAGACAGGGCACAAGCTCAGAGGCAAGAAACAACAGCAAGGGATCCACGAATGGAAGAGAGGTCCGCACAGGTAGAGGTATCAACACAATACGGTCTAGAAAGGGCAGGAGATTTAATAAACCAGGGAACACCAGGAAATACTCCAGAAAAGCTAGAGGAAGAGATGTCCGCAGAAGGTTCTGGAGAGGTGAAGGAGATAGTGGGAGGTTCTGCAGAGGAGAGACACACACAGAGACCAGGAGATGTTCGAGAGCTGCCTCCAGAACAGAGTTTGGGGACAGAAGGAAGAATCCGGACCCCGTCACCGGAAAACTGCTGCTACTGCTGCTGGACGAGATGGACCAGGAAACGCTGAGACTTGGTAATGGTTAAATAAATGATCCAAAGCAACAAAGTAGAGTATATTTGTCATGGTTCCAAGTTGGGTTAAAACTATTCCACGTCTGCATGTGGGCTTGTTCATACTATACAATACACAATACAATACAATTTATTCTTGTATAGCCCTAGGTCACAACAGAGGTCATCTCAGAGGACTTAAAACCATTGAAATCACCAACACAGGTCAGAGAATCAACAGTTAAAAAAAGGGTACAGAAGTGTGACAGAAGGCAAAAGAATTTTAATAATCAGAAGGTTTACTCATGTTTATCATTTAGCCAAATACCTCTTCTGTCCAATAGTAGTTGCTAGACGACAACTGTTTTATTCATTAGTCACATTTTCTATAGCTGCTCTGTGTCACTAAATTGATGCCTTTGATGGAATGAGTAGCTGAAGTTTGTTACATTTTTTCAGATGTTTTGATAAATAGATTCGAGTAGAAACAAAGTCATTACTTCCATCTAGTAAATCAATTAAATGTGATACCAGACCATCTTTCTTTTTCCTGAAGTTTAATTTTTAGAAAAGAATTGACGGAAACCGTCATGTCCGTTACATATTTTGTTAAATTAATTGATTTACTTGTGTTGTGTTAGCCATGTTAATTATTTATTTATTTTGTAACTGGAGACACAGTAGAATTATCAAATCAGAAGCTCATTTGGTCGTTTAAAATTTTGCCAAAAATGTATTTGTAAATCTTATCTTTTGATTTTAACCATAATATATCTTTGAAACACTATATGTGTGTTTCAAATCTTTTTTTCTAATCAATGACAGCAAGAGCATTGGCCTTTGAGCCTGAAGGTCATGGGTTCGAGCCCACCACAGGACCTTCCCACTGATGTCTGCTGTTGTTGTGTCCTTGGCAAGACACTTCACCCACATTGCCTTGAATTAGTCTGGTGTGTGTGTGAATGGTTGGTGGTGGTCAGAGGGGCCGATGTAGCTGTGGCTACAGTGGTAGTTTATCACCACCGTGGATGGAGAGAATGAATAATGACATGTGAAGTGTCTTTGAGTGTCCATAAAAGGCATTATTATTGTTATACAGATACATTGACACTTTACTGTGAACACACCCATGTCTCTAAAGCCAAAGTTAAGGATTTACAGAAACTTATCTATGTATCTTTGTGTGGTCCTTAAAGTATCATTATGTAAGACTTTCATGTCAAGTCATCATTAAATGTCATACAATGTCAAAAGGCATGAGAAAAAACATGCTCTTTTCAAATACTTCTTTAATAGATCACTGTTGTTCAGCCGAGATATTTGAATTTCCAAGTTTTGCAGCCCCTAAATCTTGTTGTTTTAATTTCAATGCCCCGCCCTCCACTGTTTTACCAATCAGAAAGTCTGTGATCCGGGTTGCTAGAACTCACCGCGTCAGGCTACTCTCACTGGTAAAGTAACATGTCTTTGCAGAACTAAAAAGGTCTCGTTATGATTCTCAAAACAAGGAATAAGATGAGGATTTCAAGCGGGGTCTTTGTGAATAAGATGTTGGTTTTAGATTTGTTGTTGAGAAAACTCTTGTCTATTCAATCATTTTGGTTTCAGTTGGATTCGTCTGCCTATCTGGAAACCCTATCAGGGAGAAAGAGAGAAAGGTTGCAGTACCACTTTTGGCCAGATTTTCACATTCCGCTCCTTTAAAGCTGCGACCAGACCGGATCATGCGTAGCGGCGACTTTTCCATGCACGTCAATGGTGGAATTGCTTGTGCGTCTTGGGATGCACGCATGGGGCTCGGCGGTAGAGACTGTTGTATTTATAAATACGTGACATTCTAAAACCATGTGTTTTATGACCTAGCTAACCTCTAAGTGGGAGGCCAGTCCTTCTTATTTTATTTTAGGTGTCTTCTTGTGCCAGCAACTGGACAACAGATTCTCCTGTTTGGATTTCACCCCCCTAGTCTTGGCCTGCTGACTTCTGCACTTTTCAACCTCACTCCATCAGGAGTCTGGCAGACGGAGGAAAAGGCTGGACCCTAGACCGGAAGCTGGCTGATAGGACACTCCCCTCCTTCCTGTTCTTTATATATGCTCTGGCTTGGGGAGAAACAGAAGGATCAGCCGAGGGCCAGAGAAAGGGACATATTAGTTTTAGGAGCACTTTTTGTTAAATATTCTGTATCTGATTGTAAAGATAATTAAATGCAGATGTTAAACGTGAAGATCTCTTGTCTCGCTCTTGCATCGACTTTGGATACGTCAGTCAAAGGGAATTATTGACTTCATTTGGTGAATCCCGACGTGATCGGGGCAGGAGCGGGACAGAGATGAGCTCAGATATAGAGACTGGATTTGTGGGTTTGGAAAAATCTCTCTGCTCTTCAAAAAGGTCGCTTCTAAGGTAAGCGGATCACAGTTTTGGAAATCTGCACATTGTTTTAAATAGAAGAGAGAGAGATTTTGGCTCGACAGATTGCAGTGTGGACAAGACCGCCGTGACGGGCGTTCTATCGGACGCGATAGAACAATAGTCAGGTTTTTCGACGTTTTTGAACCTTGAGGGATGTTGGTCTCGCTCTAAAAAAAGAATATACAGGATGAGAGGTCCACAGGGTTTAGAAGTGCAAAAGAGGCACACCTTCGTGCAGAGAGGCACAAGCATATTAGTGAAAAAATAGGAATAGAATTAGAGAAATAGGGACAGTTAGGGTCAGAAGTGATAGGATAATAAAAACTCCATATCCCCCGGGGGGCGGGAAAAAAAAAGGGTACATTTAAACAGAAAAAAGCCAAGTATTTAAAATGTGGATTCTGATAATAATGATCTGATTAATGAGAAAAAAGGGAGCCACTTGGCTGTAACTATGAGTTTTCATGTGAAGAAATGACAAAAGATCAGTCTGGGAGTTTTTCTCTTGTATTGGGATGTAATGTTTCGATAGTTACAGAGAATCAGGGAAAAAAAAAACAAAAAAGATTCTGCTGGAACTCTCGATACATTAATCATGTAGCAAATGGTAATGTTTTCCATTACTGACGTATTTAAGGATAAAATGTAAAGTGTCGTTTGACGTGAGAAAAACTTTTACCACTGATTAAGACCATATCACGATAAAAACGAGGAAAATGTAGCAAAGAAGGGGTGTATTTCAATCATCCATGTGTTCCTTTGTTCGAGAAGCCCCTCCCCTCCCTCGTTCTGTCTTCTCTCTCTCTCTCTCTCTCCCCTCCTCTCTCTCTCTCTCTCTCTCTCTCTCTCTCTCTCTCTGTCTCTCTCTCTCTCGTGAAGAAAGAATTTTTTGTAGAAAATTACATTTATACACACGATAATGTTACTGACATGGAGTCATAGGATCACAGAACTTTGAGTTAGATTATAAAGAGGCATTATTTTATTTTTATTTTTTATCTGGACAAGTTTTTTTCCTTACATTTTGGTGATATAAAAGTTAGAATGATCTTAGAGAGCATTATACTTTTGGAAAAGTAGGGCTTAGGATAGCAGTTGAATGCAGAATTGGTTTTCAGAATTTAATGTTTAAAATGTTAATATTAATTATTTCATAGGTTTATTTTGAATTGTAATTAATCATTGGTTTCGTATGGTAATTAACACACTTGTTTGTGCTTCTTGTTTGTCTGTTTTTTCCGAGAAAACTTCTGTCTGTTTCATTTGGCCAAAAATCGTCTCTGCCACAAACCACAATCGGGCGCCATCAGCACGGACCATCAGCGTCTCCCCCAGACCCACAGGGGGCACCAAAGACAGCAGCATCGGCTGCAGCAGCTAACAGGAACTCTCGAAGAAGACCTCTCCGGCCTCCATTTCATGGAGAAAAACTAGACTTTTGCACAAACCGAGTGGAGTTATGTGCACGGAGAAGAACGTTGTGTAAACCTAACAAGAAGAAGAAGGACACACGCTGGTGTGCGTCAAAAAATGAGACAAAGAAAGACATGAGAAAAGTTGTCGAAAGAAGAAGAAAATAATTGAAAAGAAAAAGACATTGCAAGGAGAAGAAAGTGATTGAAAGAAGAAGAAAGAAAGTGATTATTGAAAGAAGAAGAAAGAAAGTGATTGTTTAAAGAAGAAGAAAAAGACATTGAGACAAAAGACATTGAAAGACGCCATGAGTAAAAGAAAGACATTAACGGACATTTGAGACGTGGCTGGCCTAAATGAGACACACAGAAGGTAAATATACAGACAGGCAACAAACGCACAGAGACATATTAAGTCATATTTACACATTTAGCTAGGTCATTCGTTCATAACACCA